TCTGGTGGTGATTGGGCAGTACACCGGGAGACAATCCCCTACTCTTTTCCGAAGAGTGTACTGCGTTCTTTAACGTGCACATGGGCCATAAATGCACACGGGACCAACGGCTTAAACGGCCGACTGAGCTGCTGCTAAGGTTACAAGCACTCTGGAAACATCAAGTCGCTGGCACTTGACAACATCCGATGAGATGATACGAATAAGACTTTAAAAATTGAATAAAAATAGAAATACTATTTCTTAGATTTTTATTTTATTGTTGATTGCTAATGTATGTTACTATGCCAGATGTGGATTTCATCCATGTAGCATTCATATTTTTGACGGAAGCAGGCCGGTTGCCGCCGGACATTTGCTTCCCCTCCCCCGGTATTTAGCCCTAACATTCCTCCAGGACAGTTGCCCTCTGGGCTTTTTCTCCCCCCCCCCCTTTTACATCATGCGTTACATATAACAAGAATTTAAATACAAGGAATACATCAAGATTTATCATTCTTTAATATTAAATCTTTATTAAATCAGTTCCACTAGTAACATTTTTTACATGGAAAATATTTATACAAATGTAGGCAGTAAACTTATCTAAATAATACAAGTTTTTACCGTAGTGAAAGTAAAAACTTACAAAGCTATAATTTTTACATAATTATTTCTTATAAAACTAAAATACATTTTTAAATTTTATCAAAAACAACAATGCGGATGGCGCATAGGTTTTGGCTTGCACTCCCAAACTCTCGCTGTGCATTATCGCTTGTGTCCTTGGGCAAGGCACTTTATTTACGGTTGCCTCTCTCCACCCCAGGAGGACAAGTGCGTACCTGGTAGGTTCCAACACAACTACGCTGATTACTAGCTGCAATATAATGGAATAATAATATAATTTATTTTAATAATTTAATCCAGTTTGATCCAATGACCGGGGTAGTAATGAGAAGAGCTTAGAGGCATTGTGCATGAAGCTCTATATAAGAGCCACGTATTATTATATCCATATAGAATAAACAAGGTTATTACATTTGCTTTTTATAGTTATTAAATTTTTATTATTCTTATATTGTTATTATCATCATTAAATTTATCCATGCAGAATAAACAAGGTTATTGCATTTGCTCTTTAAATTTGTATTATTCTTATTGTTGTTATAATTATCATTAAATAATTATCCATACAGAATAAACAAGGTTATTACATTTGAGGAGGTTTAATGGTAATAGCCTATAATACAGTAATATACTGCTGCTTTGAAAAGTGTGTAAAAATATGAATGAAATGAAAATAATTTAAGACTGAAATCGGCAAAATTAAGAACAAATTAGCTTTTACCAATCACTCTTGCTATCTTATTGCACTAATGAGTGTCATAAGAATAGCTACTTCCTTTAAATTATGTAAAATAAGAAATTTAAATGTATTATAAATTAAAATGTATAATTGAAATTATATATGAAAAGATTTAAAGGGGAGGGGAATTGTCCCATACTCAATTTTTTTTTTATTAGTTAGTGGCGCTCTGTCTAGAATTAGGAAAAAAAAAGAACTTGGGGCAAGTCTAAATTTGCATGTGACCCTCCGTGTTAAATTAAATTGAAAAATTAACCTCGGCTCTCTGCTGACCTATTTTTATGCCCACCTCTGCTATCAAATTTTATTTAACAAAAACATGGCACATGCCTATAGTATAAACACATCCTATGGTATGGGGTTACAACAGATGTTTTTTTTTTTATATAAATTTTACATGAAAAGAACAAGTAACCAGGTCCACTTAAAAGCATAGAAAAGTAGTCTGTTAGGCCCCATAGAAGAAATTATTAGTTTTATCACCCTATTTTTTTTTGTTTTTAGCTTTTTTTTCCCCTTTTTTTTTTGCTAACTCAGTTTTTGTTGTACCTGTAAACATATGTGCAAGAAATCCTGAGTTTCAAGTGAAAAAAGACCGTTTAAAATAAAAATACAAGTTAAATTTTTTTTTTCATTCTTCACTACAAACCCTCTCACCGTTAACAACACATTATCCTAATACTGTTATTCCAAAGCTCTTTGATTATTCTTTAAAGGCCAAGGCCAAATGAAGTTTATATTTAAACAGCTTATATTGCTTTTGTTGTAAATGATCCAGCAAATGAGGAACTGTGTACCGTTGAAAAATCCAAAGCAGTGATTCGCGTTCCCCTCTTTGTTTATTCTTTGAAAGGCATGGCCAAAGGAATTTCATAATTAAACAGCGTAAAATCGTACTTGTATTTGTTGTAAATATCCAGTAAAAGAGGAACTGGTACCGATGAATATGCACTTCTTATTGTATCAAGTTTAGAACTATTTGTTATGTGCTTTTTCTTAGATCTTGGAAACTTGAAATCCGTCACATTCGCAAGTTTAAAAATGTATTTTGCTTCATTCTCAAAATCCTCAAAACGTCCTATTATGTCATAGTGAACATTACATGGAAAACAAGATGTGTGAATCGCTTTCCAGTGAGGATTTTGACTATAAATGCTATTTACAACCATATTTAAAAAATCTTTAAACTGTACTTTGTTTCCTTTTTCTTTATTGTCCCATTTAAAATCGGCACCGATTGCTCTGTAGATCATTTTAAATTGCTGATCATGTATGTCCGTTTCGTTTTCGGGTGATAGTTTATCGTTGAAAGCCGACAACAGTCGCGAGAGTGGGTGTCTTACAAACATGAATTTTGTGTAAGTGTCCATGATTTGCTTCTGCTGCAAGTCTGGAAATTGGCTTAGTTGCTTAACATGCTTTTTCTTTGCTTGTATTACCTGTTTACCATTCATTTTCATTACTTCCGTGTAGTTATTATTTCCAGCGAGAATCAACAGAGCTCTGGCCCACACGTCTGAACCAATCTTCGCTGTTTGGCAATAAGCTATTTTGTGTTTTTCATTCACCAACAGCGGCGGTTTACCTCCAGGAATTTTATTTCGGTACATCCGACACATTTCACTGACGTATTTATTCGTTCTTTTGTGAATAGCTGAGTATCTTTGCATAAACTCATCGATGGACTCCGGTTTTTCGACTTCCAAAGGCATCTGAAAAGAATTGTGGTTTTAAATAATAAGGTGCACTGCCTGTTATGAGCTAAAACATTGAAATAAGTTATATTCAATAGTTGATTTGCCTAATTTGTACGGTATATTTAAATAATGTATTAACTTATACAATTAAAAATTAGAATGAGAAAGAAAAATCCCCCTTAAATTGGCTGTATTTAAATTTCATTTAATGAAATGTCTGTACATCATCGCAAACTTTTTTTTTTTCGATCTGTTTTTGTCTGGTTGGAAGTTAATTTATTTGATACTTTTCAATGAACTATTCAAAATGTTAATATTAAAGGTTTGCTCCCTGATTTTTGGCAGACTGTTAATATCTAAAGCTATTACAGAGTCACGATTAGGCCTCCTAAATTTTATGTTGGCCTTTACAATCTATTAATCTTTTTCACTACTCTTTTCAAGTATTTATCCCCTTGCTGTTTCAGTGTTTTTCCAACATGCCTATCATTCGAGATTCAGCTTCCGGAAAATAATATGTATTAAGAGGGTGTATCGTATACAGATATCTAACCGTCTAGTCACATTGACATTTTGTTCATTCTTTGTCAGATTTCTTTTTATTTTATTCATATAGGCCCACCTACTAAATATCACTGAGTACCTTCCAATCAACTGAATTCGTTTTCTTAAGAATAGGAAGGTTTTGTTAATCTAAATCTCAATCCACACTATCAAATTTTATGTGACAAAAAATGTGATATGCCCATATATAGTCATGATGTGCCTATATATGGTCATGATGTGATGTCATCATGACCATATTTAGGCATGTCACATGTTTTTGTCAAATCAAATTTGAAAGTCTGGACAGGGCCTAAAGCTATGTCCACTATCAAATTTTATGTGGCATAAAAATGTGATATGCCCATATATAGTCATGTTGTGTCTATATACGGTAATGATGTGATGACATCATGGCCATATTTACCATAATTATTTAGGCATGTCACGGGTTTATAGTCAGGACAGGAGCTTAAAGCTCCACACTATCAAATTGTAAATGACAAATAAATGATGTAATAAATATAATTGAGTACATCACACAAATTTGTCAATAAAATAGGAAAAAGGAAAATAAAATGAAACCGTTGAAGAGCTCAAGTAAACTAACCTTCTTTCCTGTTTTGAGAAATTTATTGCTGAACTTCGCATTCTTTTCAAAGTTCATATTTCCTGTTGATAAAACCATAACAACTCCCTGATAAAACAAGTACAAGAATAAGTCAATAAACTCCATTAGTATGGAAACAGTTTCGATTACTGTACGGTACTTTACTTAACTGAGCAAGTAATAGCATTATCAGTTGTGATTTCTTTTCTTTTCAAATTTGATGAGAAATTCAGAATTTAGTCTTACGTGTTTGGTAATAGAACACTTCCCGGAAAAACAAAACGCCAACATGTATCCAACACAACACGCTACGCAAAGGAAGAAACAAACGAATTTATGCTGTGTTTTCATGTTTGTTCACCAACGAACACACCCTAATCAGAGCAAAAACAAAATAACACGTGTAACATTAAGAAAATACAATGAGAACGGGGAGCGATTCACTTTAGAAATATGTGTTGGGTGTGTTTTTTACGTGTCACCCGTCCCCTTGACCTGCGCCCATGACGGCGGCATTCATTAAGCCAGTTCAAAATTGAGATTCAGAATCACTGGTCGGCACACCCACTGAAGTTTAGCCCATATTGGAGAACTTGAAAAGTGGTGTCTATAAAACGAAGACCCCTAATTTTTCTCTTTTATCTTAATCATAATACACCAGGGAGTCACAAAATGAAAATTACGGAATTATTTGGACGTCTGTTTGTGAAATATCCAAGGGTCTTCGTTTTATAGACACCCTATATGGGTG